ATGTGATACAGTTTTTCCTCCTACAGTGAGAGCCGCGGTTTTTCCATTATGGTTTTCCTTTGGAGTATATTTTAGAACATGGCAATCTTGTACCTAAAAAAAAAAAAAAAAAAAAGGTCAAAATACATTGAGGACCTAGGATAATTAGAAATTCCCCAAAGTTATTTAACTCATCATCCCTGTAATGCCAATCAGAATCTTAAAATATACAACTAAAACTTTAAAAAACTGTCAAATACAACAAACAGAAAAGCACATAAAATATAAATATACAATGAAATGAATGCTTATAAAGATTCAAGAAGTAGAATCCCCAAAACTTCTGTGTATCTCCCAATCATATCCCTGCCTTTTTATTCCAGAGCAGGAATAAAAGTTTGGGCCCCAGACAATCCACATCTGTGAACCTGCTAAAAATGCACTCTCCAACTTCAGACCCACTGAATCAGAATCACTGCTATATAAGACCTCCAGATGATTCCGAGGCTTACAACAATTTCAGAAACAGTGCTCTAGAAATAACTCTTGACATTTATGGTAAWCACTTTTCTCTATGACTACTATCTTTGAGAGGACTGCCTAATAACGGATCTAGTGTTGTCTGGTTTAGACTGTGTATACTCTTTCATGTCTTCTGTTGCTCAACATGGTTTTGTAAGGTTTCTCTGTGTTGTGTGTAACTCTATGCTGTTCATTTTCATTGCTGCATAGCATTTCATTTTGTGACTATRAAATGATTTATTTACCCATTCTAATGCTAATGGACATTGGGATATTTCCATTTCTGTGGTATGAAGTGTGATGCTGCTGTAAACTATTATAAAGGAATCTTGGCACACACTTGTTCAAATTTTCCAGTAGCACTTGTGAAGGGAATTGTTAAACTATCTAAACTTAACTACATAATACTGAATTATTTTCTGAAATGGCTGTATCAATCTACCATCCTACCTGCCATTCCTGAAAACTTTCAAATTTCCCAAATGAGTCAAAACCATGGTCCTGTACTTGATCATTCAGAACCAATAAAAATTTATGAAGGTTTGTAGGCTAACTGTGTCTTATTAGCATTCTAAATACTTACGAGTACTTAATTATCACYACTTGTCTAATTATTTGTCTGAGACTAGGTCCCAAAGATTTAACTGAGTTGTTCAAAGTGACTGGGGCAGTGATATTCTCCTAATGCTCTTTCTGTAGTAATAAAGACAACAGTTGCTCAATTTCTASACATTTAATGTTGTTTCAAGTGCCTGATATTTATTATCTTGTGCAGTCCTCTCAATAACCTTCTGAGGTAGGTCAGAATTATTTCTTTCACAGAATAGAACTTATCTTTTACAGATGAGGTATGGTGCTCCAAGGAACAAAGTGAATGCCAGAACCAGGATTTAAACTCAGAGGTATGCTGTCCCAGGACCCACTTTCTTAACCATTCAAGTATACCTCATCTCAGTAAACAAAATGTGGCTTCTTCAGAGAACAAAAGTTAGCAAAGAGATCAAAAATATAATTTGGAGCTGAAAGAACTCTGTAAGTGGAAACAAGATGGGATTGAAATGTTTTCCCAATAATGAATTAAACTGGCAAGTCTGTAAGAAGCTAGGTTTGCACTTAACCCCAATGTACAGCTGCAGTTATCCCAATACCAGTATCAGGTCACTGCTCAGGCAAGATTCAAAACATTCCTGAAACCATCAGAAGAAAAGTTCTTTGATATTATCTATGTCTGACACTACTCTTTTCTTCACCACACTATTACATGTTTCAGGATACAAAAAAATAATCATGAAAGTCCAGACAAAGAGATCTTGACATACTAAAATCAATTTCCAGTTTTGTTTCTTTTTTACCTGAAGTAATGTGACCGCATGTTTTTGACCATCCTTAGTCCACAGAGGCATCATACCCAGTTTCACAGCAATAAGGCCAACTCTAGAAGAACCTGGTTCCCAAGGATGTATAGGCCATGGTTCATCTTTCAGAGGACTCATTTTACTTGCTAATTGGGCTTTATCTTCATCAGAGACCAATTGCTTAATGAATGAGGCATTTTCCTCAGAAAGATGCTCATACCACCAAGTACTACTCTTGCCATGGAGACCTCTAACAAAAAGCCAGATGTTTGTTCTGTAAAAATGAAAATTAATGTAAATCACAATTCTTCCATTTAATGTAAGAAAAGGAGGCCACATGTTAGAAAATGTAGTCGCAGCCTGAGGAAAGGGTTTGAATTGTGAATCCCTCCCACTCCCTAATATTCTTTATGATCACAATGGAGTTCACATTTTACCATGAATGGTTACCCTGGAGGAAAAGTTCTTAATCTCCTCTGGGATAAACCAATTCCTGATAAAGTAGTTCTACCTAGACACTATCCCATTTGAAGTCACTATCCCATGTGTATTTTTGAATGTGTATCTCAATAGTTTTATATTCAGTGGAGGTGGCAGGATGCAGCACTGATGTTTCTCTAAGTTCATCTCCTCCCTGCAATGACACGGCCTAGGCACACAGACATGAAGAAACTGGCGTCACAAAGTTAGAAGACCCCAAAAGACATGGCCAAGTGAATATATCAAGAGAAACCTTAGTGGGTGGCGGTCAGAAAGGAGGTGTGTTATTTTTATATGGAGGGGGGTCAGAAAAGAAAGAAAGCTTTTGGTGGTCCATTCCCTCTTGTAGTTAGGTAGARCTAGGCTAGAATTGCGATTTTACACTATGTGTTAAATGACTGTGGGCAAGTTGCTTTCCCTTTCTAAGTTTCAGTTTTACCTGTAAACCGTACGATAGTTTGCTCACATAAGTGCAAATGTGCATTACACTTAACAGAGCGTCTGACATATATTACATGCTCATTAGCTGCGGGATATGATTGCCACTGATAATATTCGCAGCTAGTCGCCTGTTTATAAGCATTTTAAAATACATCACACCTTCAATCCCTTAGGAGATGCTTTCTAGCCAGGGCAGGCCCCTCTGCGCCAAGCTATGACACTGCTCAAGGACGCCGCTGTACAGCGGCACGACCCCTACACCCCTTCTCTTGTTCGTACCTACCTACACCCCAAGCTCAGGTTAGCACTCAGGCCGCCGCCGCTGGCGCAGCCCAGCACCTGGGCGCCGGCCTGAGCCAGCAGCCTCCAACCTGGCATGAAGCGGCCGAGGAGGACTCGGTTCCCGACACCTCCGGGTCCTCCGCCTCTGTACTTTAAAAGCGTCCACACTCAGGAACCATGCGTTTCCAGCTGCCCTGGGGCAGCAGTTGTACCGCCGGTCTGCTAACGTCCTCCGCGACAGAAAGAGAGCGACAGGAGCAATTTCCGGCCCGGAGCAACTTCCGGTCCGTTTCCCAATGAATTCCGTGCACGAGGGTCAAGCCCCAGAACTAGAGTTCCTCTTCCACAATAGTCCTATTTTGGGTCTGAAGAGGATGCTGCGTGGAAGGGATGCTCACGTGTGCAGGGGTGGAAGGTGTTCACGTCTTCAGGGGTGCGGGGAAAAAGATGTTCAGAGTTTAACTTTTAGAAGAAYAAAGGACAGGCTTTCTGAGAAAGCTAATGAAAGAGAAATCCCTTTAAATAGTGCTCACTGTAGGACAACTCACTGTGCTAAGCAGTGCTTTGATAGTCTTGTATTGGTTAATCCTCAAAACATTTCTGAAAGGAAGTTGTTTTTATTTTATAGATGTATATTTTTAGAAATATATATGTATGTATGTATATATGTGATATATATATTTTATATATATATATATATATATAATTTAGGTGTGGATCCAAAACAACACATCTGGCAGATGGGCAGAGTTGACACTGAAATGGGACTGGCTTGTATTAACAATAGAATATGACCAAAGTGAAGTTGTGCGACTTCCAGGGCTGGATCATAAAACCTATTCCTACTTTTGTCTTAAGTCTTTTGGACCGCTTCCCTAGGGAAAAATCAGTGTTCGTGTTTTGCAGACTCTCATACAACTCTGTAGAGAGGCCTTTCTGGAGGGGGAACCCACCTGTGTGTGAACCATGAGTGAGCCATGTATGAGCCATGTATGAAGTGGATCCACCAGCCCCAGACAACCTGGGGAGTACAGATGACTGCAACTCATGACTGTCCTTCAGCCTGAACCATTAGCCAAGAAGCTCCTGAGTTCCTGACCAGTCACAATTGCTAGAGAAAATGAATGCTTAATGCTGTTTGTTACTAAACTTTAGGGTGATTTGTAATGCAAAAAGAGGTAGCTAATGTAGCACAAACCAACCCCTGTGTTCCACATCCAGCCTAACCAGTACATATGTCCTTTGGACATTCATTCTACTATAACCAAGTCAATTTCCTTATTTGTCAGATGAGTATTTGTAGAAATTAAAAAATATCTTAAAAGTTTAACTTTTTAAGCCTCCTYTCTTCGTTTGAGATCTGAATATCATATCCTTCATTTGAGGATAGCCTGTCTTGCAAGGTTCAGGCAAGGATCAATTTGTAGCTAGTACTTGAACTTCAGTAAGTCTCAAAACCTTTACTTTGCTTGTCCTTTCACTCCATCCATTGCTGTTGCAGTTACCTTGGACATTTCTCAATAACACTTTAGACCTTGGAGGAAAAAGAGTGTATATCTCTTCACCCTACTCAAGCTGTCTTTACAGTTACTTAAGAAAGGTCCTTCATTCAACCAACAAGTCTTGAACTGAGTTACATTAAGAAGCTGAAAATAAAAGACTTCCCTACTACTGATGATAGCTAGCATTTCTTGTGCATATAGTATGTTATAACATGTGCTCAGTGTTGTGGTAGTTCGCCATTCAAATACCATGGAGAGAATACCTGAACTAATATAAAGTTTAATTAGTTTGCTATGGTAAGAAGGAAAATGCACCTGGGGATGCTTTTATGTGAGTGAGTTGGGAGGGGCTTTTATAAGATTTGGACATATGCTGAGTGATGATAGGATATGAACAGGGAAAGAGAGAYTTGTTTTGGAATGGATGTTATCAAGAAGCAATGGTAGTTCAGCAATTAGGCATCTCAATTTTTGTTCTGGAGACAAGAAACCAAGAATGGAATTGGATATGATGATGAAAGTAGTAATCACTCAGAAGGAATTGGTAGTCATTTTGTAGCAATAGTGTGGTCTGTGGTATATAGTAAGTTAGAAATATTGTGTTGATATTATTATTATTATTATTATTATTATTATTATTATTGCTGCTATCAGGGCTTATTTTCACTCTCTTGGTGTATTTTCTGAATCTTTATAATAACCCCATGTGGTAATACTATAATTATCTCAACTTTACAGTTGAGAAAATGGGCAAGGATACATTACATAACTTAGATAAGGTCATGCAGATAGTGGTATAGCCAAGATTTAAMTATTGGTAGTGTGATAATAGAACTTGTGCTCTAGACATTTTGTTTCTATATAACTAATATATTGCCACCTTTGCCTTGAAACTTCTAAGGGAAAAGAGGAAAATTGGTCAGTTAATATATCACACATAGTGATCCATAAAGATTGATGAGGCAGCCATTTAGTATAACATTTGCCCCTAGTGCCAAATCTCTCCTAAGTCCAGAATGGTGACTTAGAAGAAATAAAACTCAAAGCAAACTATGATTTTTCTGCTGTCATGCAGTGTGTGTCTACTGACTGCCACCCATGGGTCAATTAGTATGCTGTTAATTGACAAGTACTAGGCCTAGTTGCTGAAGGACCCAGTCTAAGCTTCCCTAGGACACACAGGTACTGATCTGGAGCTTCCCGTCATTTCTAATGTTATACTTCAGAAATTGCCTTAGACCCTGGGGCTACTTTTTCTCTCTAGTACTTCAATTTCTCAATGGAATTATGTTAGTCAAGTTTCTATTGCTGTGACTCATTTATCTCATAAGAACAACTTACAGGAGAAAAATTCATTTCAGGCTCACAGTTTCAGAAGTTCAGTCTATGGTTGGCTGACTCCATTGCTCTGGACTTCAGCTGAGGTGGAACATCATAGCAGAAGAGCATGAGAGAGGAAAGCTGCTCAGCTTATGGAAGCCAGGAAGCAGAGAGAGCAAGGCATCAGGGACATAATATAAAACCCAAAGGAATGCCCCTGTGACCCCCTTCCTCCAGCCACACCCCACTTGCCTATGGTTACCACCTGGTAATTCATTTCAATTATTAATACATCAGAGGATTAATYCACTGATTAGGTTACAGCTCTCTCCATCAAATTGTTTCACCTCTGAACATTCCTGCATTGTCTAACATGAGTTTTTTTTTTCAGGGCACCTCACATCCACACCATGACAGGAACAGTGATAACTTACACAGTCTCTTTTTAGCACACAGCTCTGTAATTCTTACGCCACTAACTCAGATTGGAAGTTTATATAATAATGCCCCTCCTAATTAAATGAAACATTATGAATGCTTTCATTTCTGAGTTACTGAAGGGATGTCCAACCAAAGAGAATCACAATAGAAGGAGTACATTTCAAATCAAGGGATCATTAGAAATCTTTTTCTACATGTGCCTGCCACTTGGCTCTACAGTTAATTCTTACAACGTTAGTGATATTTCCTGTATGGTTGACTTATTGTAGAATAATAAAATTTTCATTATTGGATAATTTACACTTTAATATTAATTTATGCTGTTCCCTGTTTCATAACCTCCCTTATACTTTAAATTTTAAAATCTTAAACAAGTTTGGACTTTTAATTAAATATTCCATGGCCTTCTTCCATTTTCCCACAGTTGTAGAAATTTGGCATATTTTTTAACTGGTAGAGATGTTAAGAAGTGAGTCAAGTATCCAATGGTGCAATAAATAAAATGCACTTTCAGAAACTTTGAGATTCCATTGCTGGGTAGAATAGAAAGCCTGAGAGACCATATTATACCATCCACAAATAATCATTCAGTAAGAAAATGACTATTTCCTCAATTTCCTCCAGCAAGACCAGGTCACAATTTGTAACTTCAATATATGGCTTTTAAAAATACAATTTTTTTTAGTTTAAAACTTCTGGATCAAGAAAAAGACTTTTGGGTTAAAGAGATTACCAGAAGGGAAATTCTTCTGTCTGGGGGAAAAAAAAGAGGAGTATGGTCATGTAGTGATGTGGATTTAAAGTTCCTCAGCATTGCGTCCTCCTCTRTTGTATTCAGCATGGTTCTGAAACTCAATGTATTTATGCTACAGAGCATATCTTTAAATTTCTTTGATGGCTAAACAAAAATGTTAGCAACAGACAACGGAGTATCACAGGCCAGGGGACCAAATGCTTTCAGTCAAGTACATATTCTCCCTGGCCTTCCTCCTAATGCCAATGTTGTTTTGACTGYGCAGAGTGGCTCTAGACCAGTGAGTATTATGGTTACCTGGAACCAGAGTTAGGGTGTCTCCTCTGAGTTTAGCAGATAAAGAGTCTGGAGAAAATCCTAGAGACTAGCTATTGTGAATTGTGCTGCTATAATCATTTGGGATTTTAAATCCACTTGGAGGAGGTCTAGGGGTTCTCAGAAGAATGATAAATAGTGAGCACTTAACATTGCTCTTGCTAAGTGACAGAGATTATTCTAAAAGCTTTACAAATATTAACTCATCTCATTTAATCCTCCTCCATAAGGTGGGTACTATTATTATCATCCTCCTTTTACAGATGTATAAACTGAGGCACAAAGAAGACAAGCAGCTCATCTAAGGTTACAAACCTTAAATTTGTTAGGTAAAATCAGAAGTTTAACCCAGGCAGGCTGAATACAGAATCTAAGAACTTAACCACTTTGCTATACCAACTTTTTGTTTAGAAAAGAGAGTTACGTGGTATAACATTGGAACACATAGTTTGGCATCCAGATGTTGCCCCAGACAAGCAAGAGTTTAGGTCGTGATGCTAAGTATAAATCTTCAAGGATCTGATCAGCCAAGATCAGAATCTTTTCTTTTCTTTTCTTCTTTCTTTTGACAGTGGAATGCATTACATTTCTTGTTACACATATAGAGTGCAGTTTTTCATATCTCTGATTGTATGTATACACAGTATATATCCACACCAATTCGTGTCTTCATACCTGTACTTTGGATAATAATGATCATCACATTCTACCATCATTAATAACCCCATACTCCTCCCTTCTCCTCCCACTCTCCTGCCCTATCTAGAGTTCGTCTATTCTCCCACTCCCTATCACACTACAAATCACCTCCTTATATCAAAGAAAATATTCAGCATTTGGTTTTTGGGGATTGGCTAACTTCACTTAGCATTCTCTTCTCTAACTCCATCCATTTGCCTGCAAATGCCATGATTTTATTCTCTTTTATTGCTGAGTAATATT